ATATACTTGGAAGGGATGTTGTGCTGACAGAACTAGTGGATAAAATGAGTGATTCACAGTGAAAACTGGTGAGGGAAATTCACTGTTACAGAGCAGGAATGTTAGAGCTGTATCATGACCATTGTTGTGACCAGAAACACGTGGAATAATTTCCTTTTGAGGAATGTAAGGTGGACAACCTGTCCTACTGCCAGCAGCTGGACTGCTGATTCCAGGCCCTGTTTGAACACTGAATTATCTGTCCCTTTGGATTTACACTCATAGCCACAACTCTACAGGCATGAGCTCACATGCACAAGCACAGATGCACATCATTCAATCTATATTTTAATTTTATTACTCTTATATTCCTTGCTATTCCATGGCAATCCTTTTAATGAACTCCCTTCTTCCCTCCTTATTGAATTTCTGAATAGAAAAGACAATATATGGGGAAGGAATTTGAGCAAAATCCTTCTCTCCACACAGCAAAGTGGTTTTTTTTCTGCATTCCGTGTGTTTTACCTCGAGTGGGGGATCTCCTTGCAAGGGATGTTGTGCTGACAGAACTAGTAGAGAATGTGAGTGATTCACAGTGAAAACTGGTGAGGAAAATTTGCTGTTTGCAGTCAAACAAAGTCCTCCACAGACTTCTGACTACACAACCTTTAATATAGAGAAACAGTTAATAACAGTACAATGTTGCTGCAGAGGTGTGGAACTGCTTGTATAATGGAATGGGAAGCTTTCATCATTTTCAGAACTGACAAAAATAGTAGATATTTAAGTATTTCATCTTGGTTTATTATGAGCTGGAATTTCTCTGTGCTTACTGAAAACTGAATGCTTTGTGGCTTGAAAAAGCTTCAATTCCTTCAACCTGGAGGTGGATGCAGTGAGCCGGGAAACACTGGATGTGTCCTGGGTTTGGCTGGGATAGGGTTAATTTTCCTCCTACTAGCTGGTGCAGTGGTTTTGGATTTAGTATGGAAAAAATGCACCGAGATTTAGTTGTTGCTGAGCAGTTCTTCCCCTAAATCCAAGACTTTTTAGTGTCTCTGCTCTGCCACTGAGGAGTTCACAAAAAGCCAGGAGGGCGTGATCAGGACAGGTGACCTGGGCTGGCCAAACGGATATTCCAAACAACAGGATATCATTCCCTGGATATAACTGGGGGAGCTGACTGGGAGTGGCTGATGGATGCTCAGGAACAGGCTGGGTGTCAGTCAGTGGGTGGTGAGCAATTGTATTTGTGCATCACTGTCGTGGTCTGAGACCCCCAAAAATCCAATTTCCGAGTCCAAACCCTCCTCCCACAACTCACCCCAGTGTGAGAGGGGTTTTCCAGACACGACACAACACTCAATATGGGGGAAAGGGAATTATATTACAATTATTACACAAATAAATATTATAATGTATTATAATATATAATATATAATATATAATACATAATATAATATATAATACATAATACATTATAATACATTTCTGTTACTCTCTCTCCTTTTCATTACTATGATTATTATTATCAGTAGTGTCAAAGTATTATCATTATTATTTGTTATTTTTTATTACTATGGTTATTGTTACTATTATTATTATTATTATTATTATTATTATTATTATTAAACTGTTGTTCTCTCATCTCACAATGTTTAATTTTCCTTTCCAATTCTCTTGCCCATGGATGGGCTGGGAAGGAGTGAGAAAGCACTCACAGGGTACTTAATTGTCAGCTGGGGTTAAAATACAACAGGAGAAGAAGGGAGGTTGTTACTGGATATGGACTGATAGGTCATGTAGGTTAGAAATGACAACATGATTTTCCTTTAAGCCTGTGGTTTATACCAAAATTAAGCCACTGTGTGCTGGAATTCTCTGCCATATATGTCTATATGGAATTATTTGACAATTTAATCCCAGTTCTGTAATCACTCACAGTTTCATTAGTGCTGTGGATATATCTGATGCAGTGGAGGAAGGTGTGTAATGAGAGACAAAGAGGGAAGTTAAAGCCAGAATTCTGGGGAGGGAACTTTTCACAGGGGCCTGGAGTGACAGGACAAGGGGGAATGGCCTTAAGATGAAGGAGGGTGGGGTTAGATGGGATATTGGGAAGGAATTGTTCCCTGTGAGGGTGGGGAGGCCCTGGCACAGGTTGCCCAGAGAAGCTGTGGCTGCCCCTGGATCCCTGGAAGTGTCCAAGGCCAGGCTGGACAGGGCTTGGAGCAACCTGGGCTAGTGGAAAGTGTCCTTGCCCATGGCAGGAGGTTGGGACTGGGTGATCTTTAATGTCCCTTCCAACCCAAACCCTTCTGGGATTCTCTGATTTTAGGAATATAAGCACAAATGTTTAGTAATGTTTGCATAACAACCTGTGGGTCCAGTAGACAGGGATGACATGGGTTGCCCAATTTCTTGAGCTTTCATGACAAGACCAGGAAATCATCTGGAAAAATACGCTTTTTCCGAGGACAAGCTGCTTGTCTGGGGTTATGTGGTAATGTCTGCTTTTCCAAGGAGTAAGATGATATCACCAGACCCCTACTGCTAAAAAAACCACAACAACCTATCTACAAGTCATGTTCTTCCCTTGATTTTCAGGCTCTGCCCCCCAAAAAGTAGAATTTAAGGTAAAGATTTAACAGACCTGGGAACAAAGCACTGGCTGCTATTAATGCAGGGGGTTTGTCTGCACAGGTTTGTGGGAAATATGGGACTTTGTGTCATCAGATGCCCAGTGGACTTTGATCCTCTTTGCACCATCTTTCTGTAGATCCACACTGAACCCAGAAGGGAGAAGGAGCCCAAATAAATTACTTAAGTTGCCTTTGAATCATCTGCTTTTAATGAGTGTTCTAAAATACATTACTCTCTCCATTAGACAGTAGTCCCTTCTGTGTCCCTGAGTGACACACTCTTATTTTTTCAACTAGTTAATCCCCTATTTTGTTAATTAAATATATATATTTTGCCTTTGAATCCATTGAAAGTCAAGTTCCAGGCTGAATGGGACGCTGAACAACCCGGTCTAGTTGAAGATTCCCTGCTCATGGTAGGGGGGGTTGGAACAAGATGATCTTTAAGGTCCTCCCAACCCAAATAATCCTATGATTCTTTGTTTTGGTATTGAATTATCCATTGGGATAGTCTCCAGCTTCTGGGGGCTTGAAATAATGTAGTTACTCATTTTAATTTTGGATTGAATTTAGATTCAAGTCACGTGAAATCATGCAGTAATCTAAAAATATATCTGTACATGATTCCCAAAGAGATATAAACAGCATAAACAGATACATGATAAATCTAGTGTAGTTTTTAGTGTAGTTTTTCTATATTAATGAAGAGAATATTCAGTTTTGCTACCTATGTTTAGTAGTTATCCTCCATCCTACCCATGTCCAGCGAAAGCTGAAAAAGAGTCACAGCATATCCTCACATCAGGCCCATCTTACCTCGAGTTTGTTCCATAACAATTCTGCCTGAAAACCTTTGGAGTAGTTTAGGCAGATATTTCACACATGATTCATGAGGCTCCACTGAATGTATTCCCTCAAACTGCTTTTTAAGAGCTGTTTCACCACACCATTCTCCCTTTAAAACATCCACTCCTTCCGCACACGGAAGGTTGTGTCTGCTGGCAAGAGCACAGACCCAAAAAACCATAAACTCCTTAATTCTGGTGGCAACTTTCTCTGCTCCTTTAGCAACACATCCCTTCCTTTTCGAGGGGATGCACCAAATTAAACTTTCAGTGGAATTTTCCATGGGAACATGTTTCCCATGGATAATGTATTCACCAAGGCTGCAGAAAGCTAAAGAAATCCTGGGTGGCAGTTGGGGAATTCATTTCACCTACTCTTTCTTTCTTAGGTGGTTGATGCCATTTCTTGCTCCCTGCAGGGATCATTTTATCCCATTGCAAAGATCATTTTGTCCCCCTGCAGGCAGGATTTGGGACAGGAAATATTTATTTCTTCTTCATCATCATCTGGCTGCAGAGGGAGCATTTCAACTTACCCTGAATGCCTGAGTTTTTGACGGCTAAAATGGCTGAAATGGCTGATTGTTATTAAAATATCTGAAAATTATGACAATTTATGACCCTTGCACCATGAATTCTTGATGAAATACTAGCACAGGGAAGTTGTGTTCTCTTTTACAGCATCAGAGGCAAATAATACAAATATTATCAGTACAATATATCAATATTCTTATAATACAAACCAAGACTCTGCTTAGATCTCCTCTGTTCCCCAAGCTCTGTACACACAATTAAGTAAAAAAATGTGCATTAATATTATGGCCACTGGAACTCAATTCTCTGTAATTCTGAGTTTTTGGAGGGCCCATGAGCAGAGTTTTGGCCTAGGCCTAGTCTTCCACTCTCAAGTATTATTTGGGTATCTATTTATTTCTTAACTTCACAGAAAACCACTTTCAAGAGGGAACAACTGAACAGCCATGGACTTGCTTTCTACAAAATTACTGTAAAAGTGCTCAAAGGGTATTGAAACACTTTTCCATGGAGTTTTCCCCTTTCTTCCTTGAATCATGACTCTCCTCTTGAGTTACTAAGTATATCTCCCATTTTTCTGCTGGAACACCCACCCAAAGGATTTACATTCCATAGCAGTGCCTAGGATTTTATTGTGTGATCCTACAAGTCAGAGTGTGGACTGCAGAAGTGATAAACTGTAATTCATTTACTTTTGGACTCATTTTGTTTTCCTTTCCTGATGACAATTAATTAAAAGAGGGAAAAAGTAACATCTGATGTCTAACCAGGTGTATACTATTTCTAGCTCTTTATGTTGTATCAGTGACACATTCATATTATGATATGTATTGACTGATACCTATTGACTGATAGACAGATCATATTTATGCCTTCTTTATTTTTATTTTTATTTTTATTTTTATATTTATTTTTATTTTTATTTGTATTTTTATTTTTATTTGTATTTATATTTTTATTTCTATTTCTATTTTTTATTTTTATTTTTAATTTTATTTCTATTTTTATTTTTATTTCTATTTCTATTTTTTATTTTTATTTTTTATTCACAGAAGACATCACATTTAGCTTCTAGCAAAAGAAAATAAGTCACCCTTTTCTCATTCCACCTACCAATGCTGGACTTAATAGCCCTCATTCTTCGAATGATTTATGACTGCCTTTTTCACTTTTAAATCATATGTCTGATGTCAGAAGCATTCAGTGTTCATGTAAAATCGTGTTTTATATTAGACATCCAGGTAAAATGCCCAACAATGAAGTCTTTTTCCTGCTTTATTGATGAAGCTTGAATACAGAAATATCTTAAGAAGTTAAACTGCAAAGACAACCCTGAAAATGTCCTTCCTTCTGCGGGGAAAGTTAACTGAGTGTCAGAGATGTCGTGGATTCTACACATCTATTTTTCATCACCACTTATGGTGCATTAAAGATACATACCAGGCTCTGTAAGGACTGGGGAATACCATGTTTGAACAGGGGGAGTGGAGGACAAAACTGCCAGGACATGGATTACAAAGCACCAAGATTTGAGGCTTAGAGGTTATTCAGAGTGGCATTGTGTGAGTAAAGGAAGCAGCTTTGCCGCCCAGCTGCTCCAAGGATGCCAAGAGTTGTTTTAATCTTGCCAGGGGGGGCAGGATGCCAGTGACAAAAATTAACACAGCCTAACATCTGTTTTTTGTGATCGCCGCCCAAAAATGAGAAAGGAACATTCAGCTGCTCTAATTCACTTGACTCAAAAGGACTGAGAAGATTTTTTTTTTTAGTGCTGCACTTATTAGAATCTGCTTTTGTGCTCTGATGCTTTTCCACTCTGTTGCTTTCCCCAGCCTGCTCCAGGCAGCCCACGTGTTTTAGGGGCCTTCAAGACAATGACATTTTAGAATTGCCATGAGGGCTCCTCCCCAGTCACAATTATTCCTGGGGTCCTGATTCTGGGGTGACTCAGTCAGTGTTCTGGAGCCTTTCTTGGTAAAGGCCTCCTCTCACCTCCTCCTCCTCCACCAAATGTCTCAGCGAGGCAGCCAAACATGTTTCGTTCTCTCTCAAGATCCTCTCCCGGGGCTCTGGCAGACACAAGTCTGTTGTAGTTCACAAACAGCTGACAAAACATCTGTCCTACATTTCTGAAGTGCTGAACACCTTGAAGAGACGTTTGGCTCAAAGCAACATAAGAACAATTTGGAAGCCATTTAAAGCAGAGGCTCTGGGGTGGCAAAGAGTCATGAAGGCGTTTTCAAGCACAGCTGTTTAAACCTTGTTGTCTCTGTCAGGAGTGGGATGCACTGCTCCTCCTGTGCCTGACTCCCTAGAATAAGAAAGATTCAGATATTCCAGGAGGGAATATGCAAGATTTAGCCTGTTTGGGGAAGGTGAGTTGTTCTTTGGTTCTTTCCATTCCTCTGGGGTTTTGTAGCCAATTATTCTTGTTTTAGGGGAATAGTCTGTGTAGCTGTTGGAATTGAATCTGGTCTTTTCTTCGCTTTTCTAAGATAATTTTGAGTGCTAATCTTACCCTCTAAAATTCTTGCATACTTTACAAGTGTAGTTGATTCCACCATTCAGAACATCAATTCATCTAAGGCAGAATTGGACAATACAGACCCAACTCAACACATCCTTCCATGCTGTCCATGAGCCCCTGATCACCCTCCCCTGCCAGAGTTTTACAGCTGGTTTTGTAACCATGACTGGGTAACTCGTTCTAGACTAAGCTTCCCTCTTTCTTTATAAAGAAAACTGTGGCAGATGGTGTAATGTCTTAATAAAATCAAAATATCTGACCTTCTCAGCTTCTTCCTTAGCCTGTGTTGATCTACTGTGGAATGAAATTAGGCTGGTTCAATGCAGTGTGCTCTTGATAAAGCCATTCTGGCAGCTCTTGCCTTGTGTTTTCTGGTGCCTAAAGCAGTTTTTATTTTTTAAAGAGCTTGAGTTAAGGTGAGTGGTCCATAATTCACCAGTTGCTCTTCCCTTTTCTGCCAAACATCCTCCATGTTAAAGACAGGTACTGCATTCACTCTTTCCAACCTGCTAGAGTTTCCCTCATTCTCCATGAATGCTCAGGTAGACTGGATGTTGTCTCAGACTGTCCTTCAGTGTATTATTTTGGGTTAATTGATTTGAAAACATTGACTTTTCTGTTATATCCTACCCAGTTATAGGGCAGGATCTCCTTCTTGGTTTGAACAACACCAGTCCCTTGCTCCCCACAGGTCTTTCCAGTGAAGGCTGAGGAAAAAAACCCCACATAAAATACTCTTTATTCTACTGAGTATAATCTGTAGCTTTCCTTCCTGTTGGGAAGTGGGACAAGACTCTCCCAGCACCTCCTACTTACAGATTAATTCCCACTGGTGCCTTTTGCAGGCTGAACTTCTTTTCGTTTCTCGGCTTCCAGCGTTGGCCCCTATTTCCTTCAGAAATTATCTGCAGTGCTGCGACATAATCTGTGCATGCTTTGTTCTTGTGAGGTCAATTCTCCACTTAGTTCAATCTCTTACTACAATTTTATACTTCATCTGGATTCCTCTGTGTAGTGGGGAGGTGTGTGTGCCCTTTCTCTGAGGGACAGCTTCCCTTAACTGCTGTAGTTTCCTACAAAAATCCCTCAAATCCCTCAAATCAACAGCTCCTGCAACCTGTGTGACTCTTCCATTACCCCCAAATGATTTAATCTACCGATGCTTCTATATCAGTGATCTATTTTTAGTCCCCAATGTGTTCCTTTCCTCTTCTATCATTACCTGGACACTTGTATTCAGACCCTCCCTATAAATAATAAGCCTAGATAAGCACTGAACAAACCAGTGCACAGCAGCTGCACCAGTAACTTGTGACCTTGATGTGAGATGTCTGTGCTGATGCAAAAAGATAGGAAATAAAAGGGGAATAATCAGGCTTGTTCAATGGATTGAGTCATTCATGGACTTCATCCCTTTCAGGGCCTTTTCATGAATGGCTTTGATTTTAGGTCCTTGCAAAAGTCACTGGTGCTTACACACACCTTGAATTTGGAATTATTTAGGTTAGAAGAGTTGTTCAAGATCACTGAGCCCAACCATTAACCCAACAGTATCGAGTCCACCACTAAACCACGTCCCCATCAACACCTTTGAATACCTCCAGGGACGGTGACCTCAACACTTCCCTGGGCAGCCTGTTCCAATCCTTGTCATTCCTTTCCTATGAAGGAATTTTTCCTCAAAAGTTTCTGTCCACCTTTCCTTCATGAGCAGCTAAAATCTTCCTCCAGGAGGAATTTTGTAAGCAAAGGTGTTCTTCCTTTGTCAGGAGGCAGCGCTCGTCTCATCACCAGCTCATGAGATACATTCTGTGGTCAAAGAAGCCACGTTCCACCCCAGTTATACCATGTGAACATGAACCCTGGTTCTTATCCCTTAATGAGTCTGGCCCTTCACTGAAAGAACTGGACAAGATCACATTCCTGGTGCTTATGTTCCCCATATTTGCCTAAGCCCTTTGCTCCAGCTCTCTGAATTCCTAATTAATTTTGATTTTTTTCTGCCTGCTGTTATGATGTTTCTCTTCCTGATCTCAGCAGATGATTACTCAGGAGCTGGAAACTGTGTCTCCAAAGATGAAGAATGGCCAACTTCATCCCTCCTCTTCCTCCTATGCTGTTGCTGGTACTGTGGCAAAACCTTGACCATCCTCTAAAGATGATAATAATGATAAAGGGAGCCTACAAGAGAGACAGAGAGTTATTTTTACAAGAGTGTGTCATGACAGGACAAAGAGGAATGGCTTCAAATTGAACAAGGTAGGTTCAGATTACATATTAGGGAAAAAAATTCTTCCCTGAGAGGGTGGTGATGCCCTGGGCACAGGTTGCCCAGAGAAGCTGTGACTGCCCCATCCCTGGATGGATCTCCTTCAGGAATCTTATGAAACTCCATTAAGTGATATGTCCTATGCTGTCTTTTCTCCTCTTGACCTTCATGGAAAGGAAATGCAGCCCTTGAAAATGAAGTCCAAGCCTTGGAACGAGGAACTTGGAAAGAAGCCTTGGAATGACCTCATCTGTCACTGTCCTCAGCAATGAAGGTCAGCAAATGTTTGAGACACGAGATACGTCCTATGGAGCTGCCTGTGTTCATCACTCCTGGTTATGTGCATTGTGATGCTCTTAAATATAACTTAAATACCCACCTTATATGTAAAACTCCCTCCTGAAACTTGTATTTAGTAGCCCTTGAGAACTGCTGGGCTGGTGGCTCCCTGCCCAGTTGGCCTAGATGATTTCTGCTACTTTAAGGAAGACACTGAATCCTCTGGGGAGTAAAAGGGGGACGTTTTGTGGCAGAGAATTGATGACTTGGGTTCTGAAAGGTGGTGTTAGTGAGAGGATGTTCCTGTGTCTGAAGAATTCCTGCCTCTTGGTAGGAACAATTCTCCAGGTAGCAGCAGCACCACATTGATCTTTTGGATCTGAAGTAACCTCTGCACTGATTTTGTTCCAGGCTTCATATGCCAGAATGCACCTTAAGGCCTTATGTGCACATTAAATAGTGGGGTTTGAACAAGTATTAAGTATTGCTACTCATGATATTTGACCTTTGTGTTTTCTGTTAATCTCTGGTCAGGCACACTGGGAGAAATTCACCCCCTTCCTGAAGGAAAGGCTAAAGCTCCTTCACTGGAATGTGAGCAGCTTCAAAAAGATAATGTGTTCTCTTGGACTCTGCTGTTCAAACACCATTTTCTCCTCTCTCCATCCCACCTTTTTCATTGTAATTTTAGTGTCTTTTATCAACTGCAGGCCTAATTCTCCAGTGCATCGTGCCCTGCATGTGCAAATGTTGCACATTTAAATGCTGCACCTCGGGGGAATCAATCTGATCCAGGTGGAGGATTCACTTTACCTCAGGCTGATGCCAACGTGCTGCTTTGGAGACCTGCTCTGGTGTTCCTGTGTGCTGTTCACACTCCTGCAAAGAGGTTGTCAAATTCCTCCATCCTGATTTTCACAGGTATAGAAGTGACTCTGTGGAGCTCAAGGCAGGGGAGAATCACACTTGTGACACTTGGAGGCTGTTGGCAGTGGGAATTGGTCAGCTGGGAGTTGGCACCTCTCTCCAAATAGACACCTGAAAGTGGCTGTGCTTGGCTCTTGAGCTGGGTTTGCATCCAGCTTTTGCACATGGGTGGTTATATAATAATGCAGCAGCCTGGAGAGACAAGGATCACTTGATGAGGGAAGCGGCAGTGGAATGGGGCCCTGAATTCCAGGATAAAGGTGAGCAGCTTCAGTTTGTGGCAGCTCAGAGAATGAAGCTCTTTATCAGCGGTTACTTAGATTGGAGGATAATTGTATCAGACAAAGTGTCCATCTCTCTTTGTGTGTGTAATGAACTGCTGCAGCCCATGGAATTAATTCAGTGACCTGATAAAAACATGCATAATTGCATACTCAGTACTAGATTCCAGTGCAAGTAGTTGACTATTTACAATAGGTGACCATTTTTGTGACATCCAGAAATCCCTGAGTGGGTGCAGCCGTACCATCGTTGGCATCACGTGAAGATCATGCTGGAAGTTTTGGAATCTCCATTCCTGGCACTCCACTGTAGGCACTGAGGGCCTGGCAGAGCAGCACAGAGCAGGTGTAGCATCTGTGTCAGCCAGGAAGCTGTTGGAGACTAGGAAAACACTAATTCAGCTGTGGGGCAGCTTCCCATGCCTGCGCTCATCCGTGCTGAGGAACTAGGGATGCAGTTTCTGCCTGGGACCCCAGTGCTGCATCCAGCAAGTCTCTGAGTTTCTGTCCTCTGCTCTGTGATCTGTTCTGGGCACCAGTGAGAATGCACGGCATGCAAATCAAGAGTTTGCATCCCTTTTCATCACATCTTCTTTTTATGGCACTGTCACTACCGCGGAGCTGTGAGATGCTGCATCTACTGTAGGGATGCTAAACTCAAAATGTTCTCTCTGTGGGAGTTGGTAGAGGCAGGAGAGCTTCTCTTTTAGATGCTTACTTAAAAGTTCAAAAATGCTGGCAATTAAAAGAAAAAAAAAAACATTATTTGACTTTGCACCGAGTGTGTGGCAACGGAACACCCCGAGCCTGATGAGCCTGAGGGAGGATAAACAGATCCCTGCAACATCTCTCTCCCAGTCATTGTCCTGGTGCCACAGGTTTGTTCACTAAACTAAACTCTTCTTTCTGGTGTTTTTTGTTTTGTTTTATTTTTTTTTTTATCAGTAAGGACTGTGTTCTTTCATCTTGTTCCCTTGCCTGAAAAGGGGTTCAGGTTAATAAGGGTTGTGGTTGCTTTTTGTTCAGAAAATGGAGTTCTCTGTCTGCCTGTGCTCACTGCTCTGAAGTGTTTTTTTCGGCTCTTCTTAGCCTCTCACCCTTGTTTTTTGAGGACAAAATGTGTCATTCCAGTAGGACACAGAATATATCATTCCATTGTGGAAACAATACCCATTTCAGGGCTTGTGCTAAAGAATGGAATTTACTCCCTTTTAATCCGGGCAAATTAGAATTTTCCTACTCCTCAAAACGGGGTAATTCATCCACTTGTCACTATTTTTATAGCCCTGAGCTTTCTCGTTCAAATATATTGAGGAAAAGGGAAAAACACCTTCAGGAAGGATGTGGGAAGTCCATCCAAGTGTGGAAGGGTGACTATGGCACATTTTCAGAGGCCCAGTGGGGATAAAAGGCTTTGTTCAGCAGCCTTGACAAACTGAATGAAGAAAAAGTGCTTTTTTGTTGTTATTGTTGTTGTTCCTACAAATATGAGGAACAGGAGAAGGAGCAAAGGGAAAAGAAGGTGAGGGAAAGATCAGCCACTTGAGGGGGAGTAAATAATATTTAGTTTATTTCAGTAGCTGAAACAACTCTGGTGGCCTCGTGTATGGCCTAGGGATGTTTGTGTTCATGAAGTTAAGAAAGAAACTGGAGATAACTGTTCAAAAGCAAAGTGGAGAAAGGGTTTATTTGTTTCAGAATTCCTTGTAATGCTCTTACTGTGCTTTTATTAGTGGACCAAAGTGGCAGTAGTTTAAGTCAAGTCACTGCTGTAGCAGTCAATCAGAAATTTGACTGACTTAGGGAAAAAAAAAACCCTGATTATGTGATAGTTAATGCAGTTAATTCACATTTTCAATTTTTATCCCACAAGGATATGTCTATGAGGAAGATATCACTGTGCTCAAGTTCCTCCACAAAGATTGATACAGATGACAAAATGTAATTAAGGGTTTCAATTTATTCCCACTGAAAAGAGTCAGGGAACTCTCATTCACATCAAAAGCAGCCTCCACCTTTTATGTATGAATAGCATCAAAAATATACACTTGAAAATATCAGAAGCAAACCAGGAGGACCCAGAAATAACTAATCCAAAATTCCTATACACCTGTATATTATTGCAACACAAACATTTGCCAATTGAATGAATAAACTCTTTTATTCACCTTTGTTTTGTTGCAAAAGGAGTCAAAAATTTCTCAGATTACCCCTATTCCAGTATGAACATGAGCACAGAAAAGAAGAGAACTGAAGTATTTAGTGAGGGCAGGAATTTTATGAAGGAAAATTCCAAACCCATTTCTTCTGCTGTGCACCTACTTTCTGCACGAAAAAGCTTTACAAATGAAATATAAACCTTCCAGAAATATGACACAAGTTTGAAAAATACTGCCAAGAAATCACCCGGTGATGGACTATTCACACAGAAAATCAAGTTATACACTGGAATTCAAGCCAAGTGAGCAGCAAGAGACAAGGATCCTCAAAGTGGAAGGAATCAGGAAACCTAAAAATTAGAATGATGAACATGAGACCTTTTAAAATCAAAATACATGAGAAGTAGCCCTATGACTGTAAACATGAAAATGATATATTGTCCTTTTAAGAAAGATAAGAAGGTGGATTTAGGGAACAGGCTGATTATCCTTTCTTCAGTTGGGAGGACTGTGGAAAATATTCTCAAATAAAAAGCTATTTCCAGACACATGAAATCAAAGAACATGACCAAGACCATGGATTTTTTTGGAAGAGAAACTTTTCAAACTTTTTTTTTAAACTTTTAGTTCTAACAGTTCTAATTTTGACCTCTCTCTGCATCAAACTACACTCTTCTCCTCCTTTTTGCCTCCCACATCGTTGTGTGAGTCTAAACAGAAGTGCTAAATCTACATTATTGATTATGGCTTTAATAATTAAAGTTATAACTGGACAGTAGGGTTTGAAGTTTAGCTCTGTTTGATTTTTTTGGGGGGTGTGTGGTTCTTTTGTTTTGTTTGTGGTGTGGGTTTTTTCATGATGGTGCATCTTCACCAATGATGCTCAACTTACTTTGAGGGCCAGTTCACAAAATCCAGTTTTTGGAATGTGACTGTGCTGAACTGAGGAATATGTGCTTTGGGTCCAGCCTCACTCAACTTCAGATTTCAGTGAAATGAAAAGCTTGCCTGGAGCCAGAAATTACTGCAGAAATTCAGAGTTCTCCCTCTGTGTAATTTGCAAACAGTGAAGCCTGATTTTTCTCCCCCTTCTGCTCGGAAGGAGGTGCCTGAGGCCTTGTTTTCAGGAACAAAATGAAGATTTCTTGTCATTTCGGTTGCCACCGTTCGCTCTCACCTTTTCCAACTGCACAGCCCAGCTCCTCAGATGGTCTTTGCCTTGAAAATTATGGGATAGCTCTGCCTACACATTTAATAGAACGTCACTTGGCCTTTTAATGGGCCCACAATTCGAGAATAGAAGTTTTGATCTAATGTTTGCTTCCTACTGAAAATGTTCTCTTTATACAGGATTTAGTCCAGAATTCTTGTGAGCCATGATATCTTTTTCAGTTATAATATAGATTTTCCTCTCTTCTTAGTTTCTCCTTCATCACAGTGATCTGTACAAACAGCTAATTTAAATATTTTTTGCTTTGCTTTTAAACTGGTTGGACTTGCTGCCATAAATTGAAATGGGGCTGTTATTGCACTGCTTGCTTGTGAAAAACTTCATTGAGGGAAAGTAGGAATAGCATAAATTTGACTTTATTTTGAATTTTTAAAAATAATATGTATAATATAACAGGTGGGCTCTTTATTTAACCATTTCAGGTGTACTGACCTCAACTACTGGTGACTCACGTTCCCTGTTGGTTGCAACAGCCATTAATTTTAAAATAACCTACTTTGAAATATATTTTCATATTTACTCCCAGATCCACGCTTCGGACCAAAAGCAGGCTGATCTTAATTAAAGGTCAAGCAGAAATTCTCAGGCTCCAGCTCCTGGCAGATATTTAAGTTGATACAAAGCCACATCTGTTAAAAATGTGCTGCTTGATCCTGGGGAGCTGCACAACTCCCATGGGAGCACCACGTGTGTTACTGCAAAACGTGAGGAACTGCACCTCAAAAATCACCATAGTGGAAAAGGGGTTGTGGAATATTTGCAGATGTTTCTAGAAGGGGTGAGTGGATCACCTTCCCTCTCTCTGCTGGCAGTGCAAACAGGAGCAAAGTCGAGGCTGGATTATCCAGACGTTTCTGGTGACAGTTTGAAGGAATGGAGTCACCCCGAGCTGTGCTAAGGAAGCTGCACATCAGGCCTCTCTCTCTCCTGTAGCCTGGCCTATTTAAAATAAATTTACATTTAAGGTCTGATATGAAACCCCTTGAAGTTAACAGAAAGACTTTAATGCTCTTTGGGCTAAAATGCACACGGAGATCTCGTGTTTTCCCTGATTCTATTTCTGTAACAGCTTGGTGGGTTTTACTATTCCTACACATTTCCAGCCAGGCTTCCTCCAGTTTCTATTGTTATTATTTTTTCCCCTCATGATAATACCATAAATCTTTCCTCTACAGCAACTCTATGAGCCAACCCGATTTTCCTGCCCTCCAGCAGCTTAATTCTCTTCTAAGGTATGAGTTGGGTGTGACTCCTCAAACCCACCAGTCTGGCTTCTGAAAGCAGCTGTAATTAAAAACAAGCCAACAAACAAACCATGAGTCCTGCTCTTTGCAAACATTCCAAGCAGAACTTCTTCCTCATTCTGTCTACCTGTCTTTTTCTTTTTTTTTTAATTGTTTTATTCACTATTTCATTCAAGCCCTGGTTTTATATCTGCTATTGTTGTGTGTTACTTCATGAAAAAGCAAAGCTGTTTCCTGCAGCAAGTGCTGCTGAAATGCAGTGTGGCAGTAGCAACATTTGCTGTTTATACACACTGGGTTCTATTTCTTTTCTGCAGAGCAGTTTAGATCTATAAAAAGCAATTATTTTAAAAAATATGTATTTTTTATATATCCAGAAAGCAAAGGTCTTGGTAGCGTAAATTCAGTGTATTATCTGTTGTACCTTAGACTCCAAATTTGCTGGTTGTAAGGGATAAAGGGATGGGAAATAGTGATCAGCAACATCCACAAGTTGAAAATCAGCCCACATTCCAGTGAGCCATCCCAGAATTGTGGAATGGACTGTTCCAAATATGGGAGTGTTCATGATCCAATTCTAGGGCTTTTTTCCCTTCCCTTCCCTTTCTTTTTGTATGTCTTTATCCTTTCTCCATTGAGCCCTTCTCCTTCCCACTCCTTCCATATTTTGATCTTCTTAAATTGTTGCACAGCTTCCCTTTCACTGACCAGAAAAAAAGAACTCAGACCCAGAATCTGGAGCTGCAGCAAAAGTTTGTGGTCACCTCTTAAAAATTTTAAGTCCCATTGTAGAGAAAAATTTGATGGAAGTCTGGAGAAGAGATACATGAGATCTGTGTTCTCACACACACTCACAAGTGCAAAGTCAACACTTACAAACAACTACCATAAAAAATTGTTAGTATCCAACATATAACTCCAGTTGCTATCACTAGAATACTACAGACACCGGAATATTTTCTTAAGAACTACAAGTTACAAATTTGTTCGTTTCTCTTTCTGGTTCTAATGGTAATTTTGGTATAATTTAGGGATTCTGGTAAGTAAATTGACATTGCTTTGTTTGTGACTACTTGTGATGCACTTTATGCTTTAATGTAATTATGCCTCGTAGATGGAACACAGCAGCTTCCTAAAGATTGTTCACATCCCTGCAGGATACTTGGCTGAGAAAAACAGGGATCTAGTTTATTTAACATGATTGACTACCTGAAGTATTACAATTCTTATACAACAAATCACAATCGTGAGATTACTGGAGAG